CAAAACCCCAGCTGGATTCTGGATCTCTTTTGCTGTGGCCCCTCTGCCGTGTGGGCTTCCAGACACCCCATTCTCCTTGTTCTCCTCCAGCCTCGTGGCTGCTCCTGGGCTTTCTCCTTTGTTGCTTCTTCATCCTCCTCTTTTCCTCTGAATATTGTTGTCCTTAAGGTCTGGGTCTTATGCTCTCTTCTAATCTTTTCTTAAATTATGTCATCCTTTGCTTTAAATGCCACCTCTAGGCAGTGGGCTGCTCAGGTTGCATCTCTAGCTCAGTCTTCTCTTCTGAGCTCCAGACTCTTAGCCAATGACCTTCTTCATTTCCCAAACCGAACTGTCAAATAACACCCCATTCCCACTAAAAGGAACTTCCCCTTCAGCCTGTATTCTTTCTCCTTAGTGTGTAAGTAGTACATGCACCTAGTCATTTTCTTAAGCCAGAAACCTTGGGGTCTTTTTTGATTCCTCCCTTTCACACTCTTCATGCCAACCTGTTAGCAAGTCCTATTGGCTACCCAACAAAGAGTAGATGATCAGAAGCTACGTGTTAGATGAATGAATGCATGGGCCTATCGGAGAAGGGGAATCAATCTAGAGTGACCAGATTTAAAATCAGGCAGAGGAGGGAATTAGGGGTTTGCACACAGGGTGTGCAGAGTATCTGTAAGTCCCTGTATTTCCTAAATGAGCCATAATGACAGGCACTGGGTTCCGTCTTTAAGCACATACAGTTTTACCTCATTAGGTCTCCTTTGAGGCAATCAGTATCCACAGCAACCTTAACTTTCATGGGTATGATACAAGCTGTCTCATTACTGGGTAATCAAACCACATAATGTGACCAAGAAGCCAACAAGCAGGATAATTCAAGTCTTTACTCCCTCTCTTCTTTAGATACATGCCCTGCACACAAACAGAGATTGAAACACATGATAGAAACTCCTGGGAGTTTTTTAGATGGAATTTAATCTATTTATTCTCAAGAAATATCAGTTTTATTTTTGAAATACAAATGATGAGCATCTCCGTTTCTGAGTGTGGCATGCATTGAAAAGAGGATCACCAATCTATGGGCTGGTGAAGAAACTCGCCCTGAGTATCAGGGATCGGCAGTGAGCTCCATAAATCCTTCCTTATGAAGGATACTGGCTGTTCCATGAAGGCAAAAGACCTTTCCTCGGCCCATCAGCAAGGTTTAAATTTAGGGGCTTGACATCGCATAGCAATGAAAATCTTGCTTCCAAGCAGCTGTTTTGTCCATTCTGAAATCTGTTTCCCCAAATACGGCTGAGGTTATCTCCATAGTGAAGCAAAGCACACCACATTGACCACCCCCAGAAACGTTCTCTCAAAAGTAGTCCTGGTTTGGGTCCCCTGAAAAACCCTTTTTCTCGCAGACAACTTTCCTGTTACCAGCAAGGAAGAGGTGACTTATTTGCTTTCTGCCATACCAGCACTACCTAGAATACGGCTCATGAAAATACTAGGCCCCTGTTCCAGAAAAAGGGGATTCTGTGCACAAGTAAATTTGGGAAATGCTGCATACCAGGCACTCTGCCCTGCCTTACATCTTCAGTGTAGGCATTTGGGCTTCTCTACACACTTAAATAAGACATTGTGGTGTTTGATTGATCAACTCAGCAACTCTTCTTGGCAGCACCTCACTTCCTACCCTCCAGTGATTCTGCTGCAGAACCATTTAAATAAAGTGGTTCAACTAGTTCATCCTTGGAAAACTTTTTAGTTACAGATCAGTAAGATGGTTACACCTTCTTTCATAAAAGACTTTTATAGCATTGGGATACGTGTTTGGTTAAAACGTTCCTGGCAGAAATTACTATCTTTAAAACCGGCGTTTGATGAAATGTAGGCAGCTCCTATTGTCCCTGTGGGAGCTGTATACATTTCCCTCTTTCTTCCTACAGGTGAAACCAAAGCTAATACCCGTCTAAAACCTGCTGTTTTCACCTGGCCTACAAGTGGGATAGAGTAAAAGAATGGTCTTGCATGGCATCTTTGATATAACCAGGGGGTGGGAGTGTCCTCCCTGCAGGATTATATGATTAAGGATGCTCCTGGATATGGTTAGAAAACCCTTCCCAAGACTGAGCAGCATGGAAGAGCTTCCCATTGTCAGGGGTGACATATTTTCAGAGAAATGTCATTTCCTGCTGTGTAATGAGATAGTTTTCATCTTCTGGATCATCACTAAGTATATTATTAGGTGTATCAAGTTCTTGGTAATGTGGCTACCTCTTGAATACTTGCTTGTGAAAATATTTTCAATAAGTTTTTTTTCTGACTACAAAAATGATATTTATTATAGAAATTTTGGAAAAAGAAAAGAAAATCACAATCACCCCAAATCACATTTTCTAGAAATAAGTACCATTAATATTACAGGTTGAGTATCCTTTATCTGAAATACTTGGGACCAGAAGTGTTTCGGATGTGAGATTTTTTGGATTTTGGAATATTTGCATTGTACTTACTGGCTGAGCGTCCCTAATCTAAAATCCAAAATGCTCCAATGAGCATTTCTTTTGAGTGTCATGTTAGTCCTCAAAAAGTTTCAGATTTGGGGGCATTTCAGGTTTCAGACTTTTGGGTTAGGAATGCTCAATCTGTATGGCATATTTTGGTGTATTTTCTTCCAGTTGAATATACAACATAATACAACACAAACACATATACACTTGGAATCTTAAGGTATGGGCTCTGAAAATAGTAGGAGGAAGGGAAGGGAAAAAGGAAAGGAAAGGCCTGTCTGGCTTTTAGATTTTCATAAACCAGAGTTAGGGGATGAGTGCTTCTCAAACCTGTCCACCTGTCTGATCGGAGTCTCTATGGCCCACCGCCGCAGCCCCCTCCCCGTAAATGATCACTGATCTGCAATCACAGTGAACAGAGTCACAAGTCCCCTGCTGACTGCCACCCCCCATCTTTGAGACAGGGGCAGTTGTTGATTCAGCCCAGCTCAAGAAGAATTAAGTAAAAAGGGGATTCCAGGCAACAGTGGCTTTCCTTTTTTATAATTTTACACCTTCTTTCGTAAAAGACTTTTATAGCATTGGGATACGTGTTTGGTTAAAACGTTCCTGGCAGAAATGACTATCTTTAAAACCGGCGTTTGATGAAATGTAGGCAGCTCCTATTGTGCCACCTTAGTCTCCGTTCAAATAAAGTAGAAGCTGTGTTTGCTCTAGAATCATTAACATCGGAGGACCAGGAAAGACCTAAGAGATCATCAAGTCCACTGGTTTCCAAAATTTGTTTTTAGCGAAGAATCTTTTTTTATATGTGTCCTTAAGCAGAATTGTTATATGTAAAGGTCAGAGCATATTTGTTTCAGGTAAAACAGAGTTGGAACCTGTGGTCTAGACTTACAGCATTCAACTCACTCATCCTATCCACAGCAGCTCCAAAATGCTAAGGTGGACCCTTAAGCCTCTAAGGAACATGGCCTAAAAATTATGAATCTGGTCCTGTATTTTGTAGATGTGAAAACTAAGACTGGTAAATAAAAATAATAAATAGTCTATAGAAATGAGGGGGTCAGAACCTAGGACCCACTGAGCCTGATGCTTTCTTACTGTTTTACACCCGTGAGATACTCCTTTTGGGGCCCAGGAGGTCCTTTCCTGGCTGCCCCCCTGCATGGGTTACACTGAGCAAGGGAGCCAGTCATAGTCACACGACCAGCTCCTTGTGTAGTGTAATTATGCTGCTCATTGCAATGACATATTGTAATGGTCCCCAACCTTTATGGCACCAGGGACCAGTTTCATGGAAGATAATTTTTCCATGGACCAGAAGCAGAATGGTTTCAGGATGATTCAAGTGCATTACATTTATTGTGTACTTTATTATTATTACATTGTTAACCTCTCTGCTAATGATATGCTAATGATAATCTGTATTTGCAGCCGCTCCCCAGTGCTAGTATCACCACCTCAGCTCCACCTCAGGTCATCAGGCATTAGGTTCTCATAAGGCGTGTGCAGCCTAGATCCCTCACATGAGCAGTTTACAGGAGAGTTTGTGCTCCTGTGAGAATCTAATGCCACCGCTGATCTGACCAGAGGCGAAGCTCAGGCAGTGACGTGAGTGATGGGGAGCAGCTGTAAATACA